CACTTTTACATGGTGTTTGGACATAAATGTGTGTTGGCAGTGTGTGAACAAGCACCCTACACTGATAAAAATCCACCCGCTCCTTATTTTTTAATCCCCTTTAAAGCAAGTGGTTTTGATTCTCATGCAGTGTGATGTCACATTGCTTAGGCCCCGCCCACGGGTGCTGATTGACAGCCCTGCATTGCTATAGTTTTCGCCCTCAGCGGTTGTACGCTGTCCTCCTTGTTCTCTGCTCTCGAGCAGCTGTAACGTCAACAATGTCTCGCAAGCAATCCCGATGCTCTGTGTTTGGACGTAAGACTGAACATAAGAGTCTCCAGTTTCTCCCAACATCTGAGCTGCTGAGGACGCAGTGGATTACTTCTGTTTTTGAAGGTAATGCGCCTCAAAATCTACCTAAATACGTGTATCACTTCAGACTCCTTTGTGAATGTCATGTCGTTTTAGTGCTTAGCGCTTTAACCGTATTTGTGTGCGTACGTTAAGTATTTTTTAACTGATCAGCACCGCGCTTGTGAGATTAGTTCGCACCGTTCGTATCGCGAGATTCGTTCAGTAGCGCGGCTCGGTCCATTGATCTGCGCCGATGGCAGGTCAGCGCGGCGCAAGCTCTGTAACATCACGCTGTTTCGTCCCACTTTCAGTGCATTTGGCTTCCCATATGTACGGCTAAACACCGGTTCTCTCGCTCTCAGTCATGTTGCTTCTACCTGCTGTCTACTACTGAGAGACGTATACGCGACGCCCTCTTCTGGAGACGGGGCGGGAATATGCAGCTCATTCGCATTTAAAGCCAAAGCAGCAAACACGCCCCAAAAATGACATTTTCCAGATGTTATAATAAATGATCTGTTGGGTATTTTGGGCTGAAACTTCACAGACACATTCTGGGGACTCCTAAAGACCAATATTACGTCTTGTAAAAAGGGGCATAATAGGTGCCCTTTAACTTAAAATCTCAGGGGTATTTTAAGTAAATATTAATAATAAAAATAAGAACTGGAGTTTATAACACTCTAGTTCTAAAATATAAAGTAATATTAATAAAATAAAATAAAAACATTATAGCAGGGTTTCCCAAACTGGGGTTCACGAGTTGATTAAAAGCTAATAATTATTACATAATAAAAACGTAAAATTAAAACAAACAAAAAAACGAATTAACAAACCAAAAAATAACAAAACCAACATACTTATCAATAAATCATTAAATTATTAAGATATTAAGGAGTATTTTAAGTAAATATTAAGAATAAAAATAATAACTAGAGTTTCCCAAACTGGGGTTGGTTAGTACATTGATGAAAGGCTAATAATTAAATAAATCATAAAAATATATCAATTAAAAAACTACAAATAAAAACAACACAATCAAACAAACAAAAAATATCACATTTCAAAACACATTTACTAAAATAGATTGAAATATTACCTTAAAAATATCAGGGGTACTTTAGGTCAAATGGGTTTGGCAGAAGTTGCAGAAAATGTCCTGAGAAAAAAGCAAAGAGATTTCGGGTTAGTAGACAGGCCTCATCAGGGACCTAATATCAACATTTGTGCATAATTTACAATGCGTGCACGCTGACAGATGTATTTTTGGCAGGAAAAACAGCCGCTTAATTAGAACAAAGTATGCATTTTCTTGGCTAGACTTACAGGAGCTTCATATCGGTGAATAAAAGCATTTTCCAAGGGTTTTGCACTTCACACTGTGACTCACATCCCTTCGAGACGGTTTCCAAGAACTTGTAACCGCCGCACTCTAATTGAATTTTTATGCCGGGTCACATGGCTCTCTGTGGCAATCATTCGCAGCTCGCCGTGACCTGTGACATCTGCTCGTGACCTCTCCTGCCCGTCAGGCCGATCTGAGACGGGAGTTTGAGAGTCGGGATAATCAGCTTTGTCCCTCACTCGAGCGCAGCTTTAATAAGCCTATTGATTTCAGGAGCCATCGATCGGCTCGTCAACCTGACACGCTTTGG